TCAATTAAATGGAATGATCCCTTTAAGAGCAGGCAGAGATGTCCACTCACCTCTGTCTATATGTAAAATCACAGCTGTCAGCGTCTCCCTGCTCTTTAAGTGCTGCCTGACAACAAGCTGTTTCATCACTTTGAAGTGACGGAGGCTGTAAAAGAAGAAACCTACCTCCGCCTACTTCTCTGCTCCTTCTCCTCCTCCTGTTTCCTCCATCACTGGAGAAGACGACATGGGATGTTGTAAAAAGTTGCAGTGGAAAAGTGGAAGACCTTTAAACCTTCCTTTCTGACAGGTGCACAGGTGGAGGAGGTGGTGTTCAGGGACTGTGTGTTCTCTGTCCATAGATGGGCAGATCATATTTCTGTGGAGACACTTTGACGCCTCAGGGTCCCTAACACACAAAGACAGACGCACGCACACACAGACAGATTCAGACACAGCTTACGGTGATTGCATTTTAACTTTGAATTGGAAACAAAAGGTACTGCAGGACTCTCCATTGTACTTGTACTATTCATGTCCTAAGAAAAATACTGAGCACTTCACTGGTAGTGAAGAAGTCATTTGTGCGACAAATTTCTGAGGTTTTACGAATAGAAAATAAATAAAATGCTGGTGTGAAACATAATGAGGAGAAAAGTTGAACCAGGGTCGGGTTCACAGTGAAGCAAAAAAAAAAAAAAATCCAAAGGGAACTGGACGAGTCACTATAACTGAATTGTTGTATGTAAAACCACTAAGTGAATGATAAACTGTATAATTTTCATTTTGGATTGGTATGACAAAATATTTAAGACTTTTGAGCCTTTAAAACAAATCGGACTTTGGGTTTAGAATGTCATCAAACTATGAAAGATTTGAAACTTCCTTCCTTCTGCATGAGGAGTGTGAACTGAGGACTTTGCATGAATCTGGACCCTGCAGGACTCTACAGGGCTCTGCAGGATTTTCAGACCTGTTGTGATGATGCCCCTCCCCACCCCCAGAGGTTTGGGCCAGCCCTGCACTGGGCAAGGGATGATTTGTGTGCCTCAGCAGCAGCAGCAGCAGCAGTATCAGCAGCAGCTTCAGCCGCAGCAGCGTTCCTCCTGCTTTTGTCTCCACTGTGCTCCATTTGAATGAGAATGAGTCCAATAGAGAGAGTGAGGCAGAAAGAAGCAGCACAAAAGGCCGAGGAGCTGAATCTGGAGCAGGAACAAATCAGGAGAGTGGTGAAAAGAGGAGCAGGGCGGACGACACAAAGGAACAATTCACCTTATAATCGCTTTGATATATTATACATGCCTGAAGACTCTAAACATTGTATAATTATTTATAAATGACCCCCCCTGCTCCCCCTGCTGATGCTGCTGCAGAAAGACTCTGCAGGTCTCTGCTCCTGCTGCAAAAAGGGAATAAATGAAATAATTAATGGAAAATGGCACGGCTGTCTCATAAAGATGTCGTTAAAAAACACTTAGAGGCAACTGAAGATGAGTTTCACACAAATGCAAACAAAACAAAAGACTGAAAATAAAAAGTGTTGACCCCTCGATCAGGGTCATTTAGTGATGCTGCTGCTGTTTGAACCTGAGACGCAGCATGACACACACACACACACACACACACACACACACACAGAGGAAGACATAACAACAAACACAAGTTTGTTGTTATGTTGTGAAAAAGGTATCAGGTATGAAAAAATGGCCTGTTTTCAACAAGTGTTAAAGTAAAACTAGAAGTATTGAATATATGAATATATCAATAATATAGTTAAATTACAATGTCAATATTTTTTCAACAATGTATTTAAAGTAAAAGTACTACAGTACTACACGCTGCAGAGACAACATTGGAAAACATCCATGATTTAGAAGTTGGAAAATTAGTGAAATGCAGGACACAATCAGACATTTCGTGTTTTGTTTTAAACAAAATCACTTCAAGTTAGATTTTCACATATATACATATATGTATATATACATATATATGCATATATACATATATGTATATATATATATACATATTTGCAGCTGGTTACGTGACAGCAGCTGATTTAAGAAATCAGTCTGAAATCAGTCAATCTTGAGGATTAGGCTTTCAGTAAATCAGGAGCTGCTGGTCTACTACACACATGCATCACTGAGGTAAATCTGAACAAGGGATTTTAAATACTAAAAAACACAAGATAACACTTTGGACGTCACTCGTCCTGCAAGATTACAGATGTGGATCAACATGAGCGGTGGAAGTGAATTAGATTCTTGTTCTCTGCAGGGAATGCTAATAAACTTCTTGCACTGACTTGATGAAGTGGAACTGCATTGTGGTCCACGAAGAATCAAAGTGTAAATGTTTTCAACTTTCATCAGCTGTTGACTCTTTGTTTGGTCTGTGACTGAAGTGAAGGATGATGTTAAATTAAAATAAAAATAGAAGCTTGATGTAAGTTTTCTCTTTCCTCCTGCTGCTCGTTTGTGTTTGAGGAAGGATGGATGGAAGAATTGATGGAGGGATGAGGGAGGGGTGTAGGATGGATGGATGAATCCTCCAGAGCGTGTCTCCGCCCGGCAGGAGGGTGAAGGGTGTACTCCTACTGAGTCCTCTTTCTTTATTTAGTTTTTTTTTCTCTCTCTCTCTCTAGAAAAAAATCCTTAGGGTTTAAACTCTGACAGTGGGTGTGGTCTGCGTATCGTTCGCGTGGCCGGTGGCCGCCCTCTGATTGGCTGGCCATGATCACCGGCACGCTTCTGTACGTTCAGTGTGTGCGGGGCGAAGCAAACACCGCAGGCGTCATTATGGTAATGAGCAGCTCCTGCGGCACGTGACAGACTTGCCGCTCCATTCAGCCTGCTCATCCTGCGGGGGGGTGCGAGGAACTGGGGGGTGGTGGTCTTTGTGCGGGCTCGGTATATAAGATGAGATGAGGTCGGTCGTGTGCCAGACTCACCGGCTCACGCGAGCTGATCCAAATCAGAAACACGCGTAAAGACGCACGAAGTGACGCGTGCCAAACTCCTGCTGCAAACTTCTCCACAGGCGCAAACTTCAGATCACTGACGGTAAGTTGTCTGTGCGTGTGCCGCACCTCACCTGGCACCTGCACCCTCATAGTCCTGCTTCATTATGGTTCCTGCAGCGGTGCTAACTTCTGTTTTTGCTCCTCTTCTGCAGCTATTACAAACTTGCCACTGCTGCGTCATGGACTCCATCTACTCCGACATCGACAGCAACAGCTGCGACTTCTTCTCTAATACGGATGACGAAGACTCACGTGCGGGCAGTGACAGCAACATCAGCCGCCACAGCGCGTCTCCGCAGCCCGAGCAGCAGCAGCAACAGAAGAAGCGGCGACGCGGGCGGGGCCGCAGCGACTCCACCGTACAGGTGGTGAAGAAGACCCGGCGGCTGAAGGCCAACGACCGCGAGCGCAACCGCATGCACAACCTGAACGACGCGCTGGACACTTTGCGCGGCGTCCTGCCGGCTTTCCCGGACGAGACCAAACTCACCAAGATCGAAACGCTGCGCTTTGCGCACAACTACATCTGGGCGCTGTCGGAGACCATCCGCATCGCAGACCTGCAGGCGGGAAAGAGCAGCGACGGTCCGCTGCTCCTCAGTGCTCCCAGCCCGGGAAGCGATGCCTGCTCCTGGAGCTCCAGCTCCTCCTCCCCGGACTACTGCGCTTCCAGCCCGGGCAGCCCCGGCGCGTCGCAGGAGGATTGTTGCGGCGGATTCCTGCCGCAGCAGGAGTCAATGTTCGGTTACCGTACTTACATGACGGGCATCTACTGAGGCATCGACACAGGCCTGGGGACTGAGAGACCAGGGAAATGTAGAGACACACAAGCAGGGACAGATGATGGACAGAAGGTGGACACATGGACATAGTCCTCTGCTGGAGCCTGATTCACACTTTGCCTTATAAACAAAACTCATTTATTCTCCTCCTCACTGTGTCTCTGATGGATTCTAAATGAGATATAACTTAAGATTTTGACTCCCACTAGTTTTATTCCCTTTTAATTATTATTAATTATTCGTTTATTTTTTTCCAAAAACCTTTGCACTTTCCCCCACTCCCTCCTCCTCCTCCTCCTCCTCCTCCTCCTCTTCCCGTCAGTCTGAGGTGAAGAGTCACTTTTATAATTTGTATTTCTCTGCAGCAGAACAGATGAGCGTTAAATTGCTCTGACAAAAGACTCAGTGAAGCTCATTCATTATGTATTCTGACCCCCCGCGCCACCCCCCCCCCGAACTCATTTTACATTATTGGTGATTTTTATTTATTTCGTTCTGTTTGTTTGTTTCACGTGACGACGATGATGATGATGTGATGATGAAATTTTGTATTTTGTACATAAATAGATTTCTATTCTATTTACACTGGACTTTGCTTTTTCTACAAAATAAAGTTATAACGTTTCTATAAAAAAACTGGATCTGTTTGTTATGTGACGTAGCAGTGACCTCATCGCGTCCACAAACACTGTTTAATTACTTTCAAAAACTAACGGCCCCTTAACGGTGCCTGTCAAACGAGGTGACGTATTGGTGACGCAACAACCCTGCCACAACAGGTCACGACACCGTTGTTATACGCAACACGATTATGAATTAAAATAAAATGTAACACCACATTGTAAAGGAAACATTTTGAAAACAAGTTCAAACACAAAGCAATTATAACACAAAAGATAAAATATGTGTAAATATGTATATGTTACAGTGACATGAATGGATAATAGTTGATAAATATTTAAAAATATAACTACACACGTCACAAACTAATGTAGTTATTTTTTAATTCAGCAAATTTAATAATAATAATAATAGTCATAAAATCGCTATAGTAAATTAAAGTTAAGACACGGTAGAAAACAAAAGAAAAATAATAATAATAATAATAATAACAATAATAATAATACATTTTATTTCATAGGCGGCTTTCTGTCACCCAAGGACACCTAAATATTATATAATGTTACTCTGAGGTTATTAATCTATTCTAATTGAAAATTAAATATCGCAACATTATCGCATTACAACAATAGAAAAGGCAAAAATGTAAAATGCTGTTGTATTATTGATATGCATTGATGATGATATATTATTGGTATTATCATAAATACATGCGTTATTTATGAGGCCTGGAACATCTTTTTATCAAATTTATAACTGGCTTCAATCCATAGTCTAAACTGTAACAGCATTTCTATGTAGAACCTGGTCATCGTGCACTGGATTTTCAACCTGTGGTTATAACGCACGCAGACACAAACTAGCTAATCACTGCTCCCATTCAGTTAATTTAAACCCAACTTTGTCATTTAACGTTTTGTTTCACATAGAGACCTATGTAAAATGTTGAAAAATCATGGATTTCTATATGTTCTCACTTCCATCTGATTTTTTTAAAAACACATGCAAACAATACAAACATTCCCAAACACAACAAGTCATCAACACAATTGTAGCACTCTTAGCATTGGACTCTGTATCGATTGTTAGCATTCAATAGCACAGACATATCACCAATAATAATAATAATAATAATAATAATAATAATAATAATAATAATAATAATAATAACCAGTTACGCATTCATTAACTGCTCTCTGGAGTTTAAAGAACGGTCAGCGGATTACAATCACACACAAACACACACGCCGTCACAGCAGTGTGGTACGCGCGGACTGCGCGCCCCCGCTGCTAACCGAGTTTCATTGTAAATGTGCGCGAGCCGTGCACTAATTGCGCCGGATTAACGGCCGCGTGCACCTGCAGACTTATAATGAGCTGCAGCGAGTTTTAATTAGATTTTCTATTGTGACACAAACACACTCAAACACACACTCCGGTGTTTAAATTCCCATGAGCCTCTGCTGCTGAAATGTTGCTGATGGAGTCGCACGCTAACTGAATGTGCAGCACTGTGGTTGGCTGTTTGCTTTTTGTTAAATGCAGCTTAGAATGTGGTTGTATAAAGAAATGAACTTTTGTCCCACTTCCAGTCTGCTTCCCCGGAACCAGCGTGAAACGAACAAATGGGAAAATAATAATAATGATAAAAAAATGGCTACCAAACAAAGATTCATCTAAAAACAATTTAAAATGTCTAAATATTGTTTTTAGAATTAATTGAATATGGACCATAAAATAACTGTGTAAGATTATAGGAAAAATAGTTTTGTTTCGATTTATTCCGTCCCTGAAGATTTTCTAAATCAACTCTAAATTAGCTGTGTGAATGTGAATGGTTGTGGCTCCACGATGGACTGGCAAAATGCCCAGGTTGTCCACCACTCTCTCCTGATGTCTCCACCCATAAGAACCAACCATATGAAGAGTTAAAGAGGAGAAGATGAGTGGATGTATTGTTTGTTTAAAAAAAATGTTTTGTTGCAAAAACTCTAGCATCACATTATCTTTAGTAGAATTTGAAGCTAATGGTAATTCTTATTAATGATGACTGACATCGTTACTCAAAAAAGTGCCAGTCACACATACAACTACTGGCTGGTATTTTTTTAAAATATAACTCATGTCATGTTGCTATGGTTTATCAATTATGATCATATGTTGGTGTAAACTGCTTTTTTTTACTACTTTTTTGTTTGCATATTTTAACTCTTATATTCTTCTTTTTTTCCTTTGCCTGTTATATTAATGACTGTTTGCACTTGGGGGAATGCAACTTAATTTTGTACAATATTCTGTTGCTACAATGACAAATTTTGTGACTGAATTATTTGCTGAAATCCCAAAACAACTAATTGAATTTACTGGAGGATTCAGCACCACAGTGGGTTTGGATGCAAATGGCACATTTTCTCTGTGGTGATGAGTGAGTACTTCACTGCTTTGCTTACCTTGCTATAAGACTTTGAAGTAGTAATGATCAGCTCTTTAAATATTGATTACCCAGGAGGAAACTCGTATTGATTAGAGAGGACAATGATCACAGTCAGACACAGTCAGAACTCAGGGCCTCAGCTGGACAGAGCTTCAGGAAGCGGACACCCTCCCTCCCCTCAGCAGGCCGTTATTGTTACATTAACTACATTTAATGGACGACAGATGGAGGAAGAGACAAATGTTTCCACTCACTCAAGTTGAACAATGTGAAACAAAAACATTGTTGAATTTAATTTCTGTTGAAACAGTTTTTGTGTGATGTAATAAATGCAGCGTTGGTCGAGGAATGAACTTCATTTACTGACTGACCCAGAATCAGATCTTCTAATTGGGTTGCCCTGAGGGGACAGCAGACACACTCGCCTGCCAGCAAGTGATCCCATCAGGTCAACAGGGACATCTGACCTATGACTCCCTGCAGCAGCAGCAGCAGCAGCAGCAGCAAAAGAAGAAGAAGAAAGAATTCCCAGGTGTGATTAACAAGATGACAGAGGCCCAACAACTATATAATAATTGTTGCTAGTGAGCTGCAGTGTGTGACATAACTTCAAAAACATCAATATAGTACGATAAAGTGCTGGTGTGTAAAACTGGGAAAACAAAAGAGAAGTTCAAAAGAAATACACTGAAAATATTTGTACTGTAAACTCACACTACGATGTGTGACAGTCAATGACTGTAGGTAAAAAAGATGTGGATTTTGCTGTTTGCAAATATATATATATATATATATGTATATATATATATATATGTATATATTTTGTTCCATTAGAATATTCCAAAAATAGAAGTAATTCACACCAGATTATTTCACTGACTCCTACAAAACGCACATTAGCTTTGTAGCTAGCTTTCATTGGAAAATGTTTTGTCAATGGTAACTGAGTCATCTTCAAGACAAATGTAACAAAGCAAATATGAGAAAGACGGCTAGTTGTTAGCCTGCTGGCATTAGTATACTGTCACGATAGCCCTGTAACATCTGTGATTTCCAGTTCTCTGTCTCTGTCTTCCCTGAAGCCTCGCCTGAACTTTGCACAAAATATTCACCCCTAAAATGATTTTAAAAACATGGTTCTAATGCACCAGGGAGCTACGGAGTCCGTTAGCGCTGAGCTAACGACTTGTTATTGGACATATGTTCTGTTATCTCAACAACTGTCATTTATTTATTTACCTCTTTACCTGTGACCTGCCCTCCCTCCTGTGCGTCCCCTGCGGTGACTGTCTGTCAAACAGACTGACACTAATAAGGCCAATTAGACTTAAGTTAAGCTTGTGTTTTATCAACATCTCATTATCCTGCAGGTAGAACTGTGGCCGTGGCAGGGACACGCCTGCCTCACACCTGAGATTATACTAATCCATTTTAATTCCAAAGGGGTTTCTTCTATTTGTCGCTAAAGCTCTTTTAAACAAACAAATGAAGTTGAGGAAATTATTTTTCAACAGAAACTGCTGTGCCACGATTCAACGGAACGTCCACGAGGAATGATATGACTAAACTTTTATAGCATCAGAACATTATTTTCAAACATTATCATTGACAGCCACATCAGACACTATGAATCCATCCAGAGGAAACACTGCAATTGGCCGTTCTGCTTTGGCCAAGATCAGTACAGAAAAGGTCTAGCTATTTAACTCTAGCTATAAGGTTCAGTATTTCTGTGACATAATAAACACTTTATGTATTTCACTCATGTCTCCATCTACTCGTCTCTAGATCAAATATTCCCCATTAAAAATAACTAAAAACCAACTTATTTGTTCCAGCCCACCAGAAATATACTATTAATTAATTAAAATAAAATTCACCACATCTAAACATAAATAATATAAATATATAAATAAATATATATATAAACAAATATATTGGTAATACACAATAATAATAATTGAGAAAACATTTTATATTATTGTTAAAAAAATGGGTAAAATAACCAAGTGAGAGAGAGATTTTCAAATCCGGGTGGAAAAAAATGGAGCTCGGTTGAACACTTCGTACTAGATATTTCCTCGTATCAGGAGCAAAATCTTGCAATATTTGCAGACTCGTAACATGCAATCAAGTATTTCTCGAACTGACGTCAGAGTCACTGCACGTCCTGAACAGAGCCCCCTTTAGGTCACACCGCACATTTTTGAAATGGTTCAGGTCTGAGCTCAGATAAAACAGCGTTGTTTCACAACAACCTGTTTGATTTACGCGCTGCTGTACTCAGACAGGGAGACCAGTGGCATTTAATGTGGCACATAAAAGCATGTGCATGGATGCAGAATGAAAACTGGTGAAATACAGAAAAGAGAATAAAAATATTTTCTGAAAAA